TTTTTTTTTTTGCAGGTTGGTCTCTCTGGCAACACGAAATCCGGCGAGAAGAAATCTTGAAGCAACAAATCCGGCCAAACAAGTGATTCCGACGTCACAAATCCAGCAAAAAAATTCATATTTTTCCGGCAACATTTGTGGCTTTTTCGGCCAAAATTTGAAATAATAAGTATTATATGTATTATATGAGGATCTTGGAGTCCAAAAATCATGTGTAATTCATATATTTTTGGTTAATTTGTTAAAGATTGAATTTGGAATATTGTTGTTAATATTTACCCTAAATCTTAGCCTAAAAAATTTAAATTGATCATTCATGTTCATATATACGAAATTGATGCTATTGTTAGGTTATGTAATGTGTTTTTCACCCTAAAACAAGAAAATAATGTGGGAATGATCATTGTACCTCTGTTTGTATGTATATAGTATCACTTTAATACTGTTTAGTACCACATTTTTCTGGGACTGTGAAGTTTTACTTTTCTATTTATCTAATTATTGTTAGATACATGGAAGGGCACAAAGTGATCTACTAGGGAGTTTTACGTACAAGAATGAATTGTTTGTGTTCTCTATGCACATTGGATTAACGTTTGACGAAGTGTACACTCTCATATCTAAAAGGGGGCCGAACGTTAATTTCGAATCCGTCGTGCTTTGCTATATTGCGACAAAAGAAAAAAAAAAGAGTTAGTTTGTTGAATGATGAGGATGTGAAGAACATGATTCGGTTACATGTTAGTTGGAAAGTGAATATTGTAGAGATGTTTTTGAAATTACATTTGTTATAGAATTATTTATGTTGCATTCATATTTTTGAAATTATTTTTTTAATAAATATAGTTTTATTTATAATGATAGATGTAATTATTTTTTATTTTATATATGCAATATGGATGTCAAACCGAAGATCATTAAAATATTATTATTTTGGGATAAAACATACAAAAAATAAAATTAAAATAAGAATTATAAAGATTTAAAAATAAAAAGAATAAATATTTATAATAAAAATTATATTATGAATTAAATAAGAGTAAGAGTAGTATATGATAGTTTGAGAAGAAAAAAAAACATAAAACAGTTTACGGTAATTCTTAAGCCTAAAACGAAACATGTACACGTGTCAATACAAAGCATACAATTAATTGCGGTTTTTATATTGAAACTAAAAGACAAATTTGTTTCCATAAAATGAAAATTACCTAAAGATAAAATTTCGAAACTAAAACTCTTTTGAGTTTATGACCACTTGTCAAGGAAACTTAATTAAACACATTCAAATACTCATAGAAACTAATGTATAAGTGATTTGAGTAATATAAATATCATTTAAGACCGAAATTCAATGTGTTTTTTTATGTTCGTGGGAATTGGTACTGAAGACGTAATATCATGTATTAAACCACCATTTAATGGATACTGTCTAACTCTAGAAGTGATAAGGTCATATAAATATCATTTGAGACCAAATTCAGTGTTTTTATGTTCGTCGGAGTTGGTACTAAAGACCCAATATATGACACTAAAATTGAAGTAATCCATTTTCGTTAACCAAAAGTAGGTACTAATTGATTAAAAATAGGTACTACTCAGAACAAAAAGTGGTACTATTTCTGTCAAATCTGGTATTGTTTTAGTAATCGTGATTTCTTTAATCCTTGCCACGTGGATTGTTCACGCGTGATTTGGTTGAGAAATAGTGGAAGT